GAGCAGGGAGCCCGATGCGGGACTCGATCCAGGGACTCCAGGATCATGACCTGAGCCGAAGGCAGTCGCTTAACCAACTGAGCCACCCAGGCGCCCATGATAATAGAAATTTCTGAAGCTAGAATCAATTAATTATCAGTAATTTACTTATCCTTCAGACAGGAGGGTGCTTAATGTCATAAGCCCAAAGAGCCCCCCTGACTATTTCTGGATTGATAAGATTTTACCATTCACCATTATAATTACTTTCATTTTGTTAGTACACATCTGCTCTGACTTATGATGGAGTCCTTGTGATGGCCGAAACGTTCCGCAATCTTAGAAGACAGAAAATTGATATTTCCAGGAGAGGAAATGCTGGGGATTGTCTTGCAAATCCTGCCGCTCCCTGGGGCCAGGGGATTGACATGGAGAGGACGCTCAAACAGGTAACTCAATTTTATTTAAGTGCAGTTTATTTCACAGTCCTGTTTAAGTGGCATATTCAAGAAAACGGAATAATTTATCTGAGAATAAATATATATTATAACTGCCATTTTAATATATTAAGCCATTATCATTTTTGAGACATTTCTAAATAAAATACTGAGTAGAATACTATTTATATCTTATGTAGATGCTTAGTCAAGATAAACTAGGTTTCGCCACAGTAATAGCCCCAAGTCCCAACGGCTATGAATGTTTCTCACTCAATCAAACGTTATATTAGGAGGGGTATTCTGTGTATTGTAATGACTCAGGGACCCAGGCTGACAGAGAAGCTACCACCCAAAATGCCACAAAGGGAAATTGAGTTATGGAAGATTTCAGATTGGCGATTAAATGCTGTGGCCCAGTGGTGGCACTCATCACAGCTGTTTACAACTCACTTATTTTAGTCACATAGGCCTACCTAACTACAAGGGCTCTGGGAAGTACAGCCTATCTTGGGTCCAGAAAGTACAAGATCCAGAAATATTTTTTAAACACTGCTAATGACTACCTCAGTAGATCTTTAAATTGCCTTGTAACCTTGGATTAAGTAATTTATTTTGCTCTGTTTGGGTTATACTAACATTATTTTTCAAATGATTAATGGAATATATATATATTTTTAATATTAATGTTTTAAACATTCTGAAATACCCTGAGTTCAGATCCTAAGTAAAAATGAATTAAAAGGAAATTTGGAATGATGTAAACTTGAATTTTTTAATATATTTATATTTTGAACTTCTTAATTTTAATATTATCAAGGAGAAATATGATCCAGTATGATTAGCAGGACTACTTAATGTATTATGTGAACACATAAATAGAACCAAAAACTAACTATGAATGAACCATATTTCCTTTCCTATAGGCACACTTCAGTATTGAGGAAGTATTCTTTATCACATAACAAAAAAAACATATTCCTCTTTCAAGTATAGAGCAGAATTGCTTATATCCCTTTGATTTACATCTTTCAGCTTATATCCCAGCAGCTTAAATACCCTTTGGTTTTTTAATGAGTTATGTATAGTTTATAGTTCCAAACCCAATGTGTTGTCACAAGCCTCGCAGATGAAGTCAAGATTTCTGTAAGCAAAATGGCCCATGGAATATATGTATGGATTTTATTTTTCATTCATAGGTTCGCATTCAAGGACTGACAGGGAATGTTCAGTTTGACCACTATGGACGTAGGGTCAATTATACAATGGATGTGTTTGAGCTGAAGAGCACGGGTCCCAGAAAGGTGAGCTACACTCAACCTGCTTTCTTAGTTTGCATTTGACGTTCTTAAAGCCTTACAGGTAAAAGGTAGCTGTTTTTAAATGCGAATACTTACAAATTGTATTTTTTTATAATCTGTGCTGAAATAAATTCTTGTGTCATATAATTGATATGTAATGGTGTGCCAAAGCTGAAACAAACTAATTTACATACTGTTTACATCCTTTATCCAAAGTGGAAGCAATATTAAAAAAAAAAAAAAAAGACTTAGCAAAAAGAATCCTGAAAAACAAAATGTACTCTGCAGGAAAGTACATCTTGCAGGTTAAGAGACCTACTCACCTCCATGCAGTCATTTATGAAATGGTCAGAGAGAACAAAGGAAGCTACTTCTAAGGAGTGGGCTTACTGAGAACTGACTATATGTTCTTGAAATAAGCAAGTAAACACATTCCAATGAGCAAAAGAAAGAGAAGGTAGAAGATGAGATTATTAAGATTATCACTTGGCTAGTGGGGGAGAGAAATACCTGAGAAACTCTAATTGAGGGGACAAGGAAGTTGAGTGGGAAGCTGACAGATTCCTGGATTTTGGGAGTTAACTCCGCTGGTGGTAGGATGTGACTAGGCAGATCCGTGGTCTTCCAAACATCCAGAAAGTACCGGATGTAATGGAACCGTAGGATCCCACCCCGGTAATTGACAACAACATTTTATACCTAACATACGTAATGTTTAACATTCCTTTTCTGTAGGATTAGCTAGAATGCTCAAGGAAAAACATGTTCAGTTACCTTATCTAAAAATTCTGTCCAAACACTTGGCTGTTTTAAAAAACTTTCTCATATGTGATTTCCTGTTAGAATGTAATAATGATAGCTGTAATTTAGGAAATGTCTGCTGTGTCCCAAACACTGGACTTGGTGTAATTTAATCCTCACAACAAACCTGTAATGCGAGTACCATTAGCTCCCTTTTTCCAATGAGAAAATTATAGTCCAACAGGTTATAGTTACTTGTCTAAGGCTCGTAAATGAGAAAAACAAGGATTTAATTCAGGTGTGTCTGTCTCCGGAATGGTTCTGCATCATCATTCCACCTGAGTAGAACCTGCTCTAAAGGAGTTTACTTTCTGGTGGGGTAGAATACAAGTTCCATGACAGTTAAAGAGAAGACATGTGGAGATTCTAAAGAGGAAGAGATTACTTGCAGCTGGGAGAAAACAAATCGAAGAAGGCTTCATGGAGGAGGTAGGATTTAACGTTAGCCAGGTAGGCACAGAAGCTGGAAGTGGCGAGAACTTGAAGTGAGTCAGGGAGGGAGGACAGCTGAAGTCACAGATGGGAAGTGTCAGAGGCTCTCCTGGTTACGTTTTGCTCCAGTCTGTTATGGGACGTGGTTCTGTGTGCACAAGAAGGAGAGATTTGGAGCTGCCGTGAAAACCATCCCTAGCTTTTCAGCCTCTCAGTGCAGGCTGCCAGCTAATTAATACAGGGACGCTGCAGCCTACCTGAACCAGCTCAGCGAGGGCAGGAGACAGGTGACTGCCGGGGAGCAGTGCTGCCTGATGGGCCCCCCCAAAGACACTGCCTGCAGCGGGGCAATGAGACATGCTCCCAGAAGAAATGTACTGAGTTCCGTGTCCACACCGACTTTACCCACTCTGTCCGCACACGGCCAGCAACAGGAAAGAAGGAGGCCCGTTTGGGGCAAAATCCTGGCCGCTCTGGAGCGGACTCCCCAGGCCCCTCAAAATACAGGCTCACTGGTGGGTGGAGGCAGAACCTTCCTGCCACACACCAGACATTGCAAAATTAGCCACTTAAACAGAAGCTTCCTAAAATGCAAAAGACAGTCCCATACTTCACAAAACAGTAAGTACCAAAAGCAAAATGACCTCTCTATAAAAGAAAGAATAATGTAAAAAGGAGGCTGGTGGTAATGAGTGGTAAGAGCAAATGAGTTATTTATGACACTGAATCCTGCCATGGCCTATTGGTAATGACAATTAAGGTTTTTTAAAGGGAAGCTAAAGAGGGACTGGGGAGAGTGAGGAATGTCTTCACACTCAGCTGACACCCATCTAAGACTCTTGAAAGAAATATGAAGTGTAAAATCCTGTAAACTCATCCGTCTTCGTTTTTCTGTGGCAGCGATCAACTTGGGCATTCTGTCAGGAATATTAAACTTAAAAATGAGCTACCACGAGAAACACGCTGCTGATGAAATTCAGCAATATGTCTGGAAAGTGAGCAATCGCTCTTGTAAATGGGACACTTGCCAGCAAGGGAGTTGTCTCTGAAAATAGATCAGAGTCTGCCCATCAGATCGTCTGACTGCTGTAGCAGGAGCCCTGATGCAAGGACTCGTTCTAGCTCTTTCCGAAGTCCTGGCTCTTAAGTGGGGTGGAGTCTTCCCAGCCCAGTGACCCCCCAGGGAATGCCCCAGAACCAGATGTGCGTGCTTTCAGGAACTCTCAATTGTAAAAGTTTTATGTATTGAGAGCAGGTGATAGGCCAAACACAGACATGGAAAATTGATGTGCATTTTTATATATAATCCTCACAACAACCCGAAAGTGAGATATATCTTTTCTCATTTTAAAGAAGAGGAAAAAGTAAGATTCAGAGACACCGAGGAACCAGCCCAGGGATGTTCAGCTCAAAAGACATGGAGGGGGTTGGAAACCAGGGCTCAGCTAGCTCCAGAGCTCACTCTCTTGATTGCTATGAAATACCATCAGACCTGGAGCCCGTAAGAGTTCTTTTTAGGGCTGATATGGGAATTAAGCCATATTGGGGTGGGGGGAAGGTCTGGTCCTATCAGCCCTCCAAGGAACAAGCTTTGAGTAGAACAGGGGCTCCTCCTGAACCCAATGCCTACATTGCAGGCAAGGGCCACTGTAAACACAGAGATGTCTACTCATAGTGTGGTGGTATTTATGCACAATTCACCTTTAGGAGTCCAAAGAAGACAAATATGTTTCTGACATCCCTGCCAGTTGAGTGATTTAAACACTTCCATATTTTTGCTCCAGCATTACAAAAGTATTCTTCACCCAATTTCTGTCTCTAGGAAAAATGCCTACTTCCCTGTCTGATTAAATAGACCAGGCATGCAAAGAGTTCTTAGTACATTGTAAAATGATGTGAAGAACTAGAGAAGGAAACCCCATCTCACGTGAGGTGTTCTAGTCCAAACTTTAGGATTCCTTTCTTGGGGAAGTGACTCTCTGACACCCTTCCCAGCGTGTCTATGGCTCAATGAGATCTAGCATGAATGGCCCCATACCCCAAACCACATCTTCCTTTTTTCACAGAATTGCAGGTAAATATAAGGCAAACAGATACAATTAGGTAAAATTTTGCTCTTTAGTTTAATTTGTCAACACTTCTAAATCATTTCTTTTAAGGGTAGATAGTCGTGAAGCTGTTTTAAATGCAAAATGTCAAGGTCTTGCCAACATCTGAGGACTCTTCAGAATGTCCCAAATCTGTGGTTTTTCTGTTGTGGGATCTCATTAATAAAGAAAAATGCCTTTCCCAGAGAATGGGCTGCTGAGACCTGGAGGGCGGCTGCCTCGTAACCGAGTGCTAAGCTGTAAAACCTATTTTCATGTCATATAAACCATCATGAGGAAAGGAGAATTAACAAGAGGCAACTGACATGTTTTTTTTTTTTTATTTTGTAAGTACATGTAGGAATTGAGGCTGCATGAGGATGTATGTACGTCTCAAAGGCATACTTGTTTTTAAATTAACTGTTTCATGAGTTATTAAATAAATGTCAGCTACCAATAGATTCATATGGACACTTGAAAACTATTGCTGAACTGATAGATGTTCATAATTTCAAATCAAACTAACAACTACAGCAAACCATATTAATGAAAATTCATTTCACCCATCTATTCTGACTATATATGCGACATTTGTGAATAACACAGTACCTGTTGCTGACACATTAATGCTTACTTTATTTCAATACGTTCACAAATACTAACACGACAGTCAAGAAAGTTGGAGGAAGCAGGAGAGACTTCCAAAAACATATTAGAACCAACAGTGAATACAGACCAGTAAGCAGTTACATACATTTTATCGGAGACAGGAGTTTTATCAACTGTATCCAGAAATTCAAGAAAGAAGTTGGGCACTCATTCAGTGCACACGCATCTGGGGAGGTCGTGGAGGTTGGCAGCCGAGTGTGTGGACTTGCTCTCTTACAGAACTGTTTGGAATTCCGGCCCCTCTGGAGTGTGACCCCCTCGTGTGCTGTTAACCTGCTAGGTCCTCAGCTCCAAAGGGTGGGTCCGTGTTGCACCTACCTCTACATTTGCTGTGTGTATAAACTTTGAGATGCATATTTAGATGCTCTGCCCCAGAGCAAGCAGTCAAGTGGTAGCCATTCCTAGTACTTAGTAGTTGGCATGATACAAAGAACCCTAAATTTCCTTTAGGACCCCATTAGAGTTTACTGCTTTGTAAAGTACTTAACTAAGTACTTAATATATTTTATGGAAAGGACTTTCTTTCACCTCTAAGTGAGAAAGTAATGTAAGGATTTAAAAATAAAAAAATACAAATTTGGGTGCCTGGGTGGCTCAGTTGGTTAAGCTACTGCCTTCGGCTCAGGTCATGATCTCAGGGTCCTGGGATCAAGTCCCACATCGGGCTCCCTGTTCAGCAGGGAGTCTGCTTCTCCCTCTGACCCTCCCCCTCTCGTGCTCTCTCTTTTATTCTCTCTCTCTCTCAAATAAAATCTTTTAAAAAAATACAAATTTAAGTGTAATCTTCACAAGTGAAAATATTGTTCATTAATATTAACCTCGGATGTATTTAGCATTTTAGAAATGGTCAGATTTTTACCCAGTGGCTAGGTTATGTAAAACCCCAAACTATTTCTATATTGCCTTATATATGCAAGTCTTTTTTGTTAAAAATACCCTATACATATTCCCTTTACGGTAAAACCTGTAACATCATTGATAAAATCATGTAAATTAATTTTAGAGGGTGCCAGTCAATCCCACTAGAAGAGAGGATCAACGTAAAATGGTATTCCATCTGTATCCATATTCTTTTTTGAACGTCTCCTTCCCCAATGTCTTGGCTGCTCCAAGACTGTAAATTATGAAGTTGCCAAATGTACAACCAGGCAGTATCATTAATGTCAGAAAAACTGGCTCATCTTCAATTAAAAAAACTTCCAAAACCTCCTTTTTTCTCCATTTTAAATTTGTTTGCTTACTTATTAATACCCCTCATGGTTCCAAAAATAACTAGAGAGAACTGTTCTAAGATGTGTTTTCAAGAATTTTCTCTGTTTGGCAGGTTGGTTACTGGAATGATATGGATAAATTGGTCTTGATTCAAGATGTACCCACTCTTGGCAATGACACGGCAGCTATTGAGAACAGAACAGTGGTTGTAACCACCATTATGGTAAGTTTTGGTCTATGCTTTATGCTGTTCCGTCTAGTCCACAGGCAGCTTTAATCCCCCAGCTATGGTGAATGGGGTAAAAGCTGCATTGTAGCTGGGGTGACATGCATGTTCTGATCCACAAAAGTCTGTTGAGGCTTTGAATAGGTTTGCCCTGAGCTTTGAATACATTCAGTACTTTTATTTGTATTATCTTTCGTTGCAATGTTGTTCTTGGAAAGATGCTCATGTGTTAAAAATGGAACCTGTCACACTCTAGTTAGAAATGGATGAAATGCTGACATTCCAAAGGACAAAAGAATGAACATGAAGAATCAGCAACCTGTCACAAAAACATCTGGTAGTAAACACCATATTATTGTCGTTACCATGTTTTTTATGACATCAATGTAATAATAGTTAATAGTGTCAAAACTGATCACTTTCAAGTAGTTTAATCATTGGATAATGATTTGCCTTGTCTGTTTATAATAGTGGGGATATGAATGTAAAGATTTTAATGAACGTGTTTTATACAACTAAATGCTTTAGAAATAAATTTTGTTCTCTATTTATTTTTAATGTGAAAAGGGTGTTCTGCACCGATTATTTTTCTCATTGACCAATGACAAATACACAGTACAATTTATTGGACTTCTCCTAAGACTTAAGGAAAGTATGATTGCTCCATCCTGTCACATCATAAAGTGGAAACTACTCTAAATTTTAAGGAAATGTTTTCAAAGAGATCCTCAAGAAATTACCTTTTCAATCACAGAATATTGTTGAAGTCAACCACACCCTTTCGAGTCCATGCTGGTCAAAGGAGATCAACAATCGGTACCTATAGCTTCAGCTCCCTGTCTCGTTAGGCAGAACACGTTTTTAATTATTTATGAAGCCCTTACTCTAAATAAAGTGGGAGTACTTTATGTCAGTTTCTAGCTTATGTAACTGTGGTTTTTAGTAACGTCAAGTTATTTCCAAAAATTTGGGCACCGAGGTCAAAGCATGAAAATGCCAGAGAGAAGCGTTCATATGTTACCATGAGTGTTCTCTGTGTCACATCCCCAGCAGCCATGTCATGTTACTCCACCAAGCCTTGGTGGGAAGTTGATGATTTTAGAATGCAACCCAACCAACAGCAGTTTTTGTGTAAGAGTGCAAAATGTACTCCTTCTAGCTTAATTTTGTAATAGTTGCATGGGACTTTTGAAAAGCAGTATATATACATATATATATATATATTTCTTTTCCTAAAAAGACACAGTAATGGAAAGTCATACTTCAGTACAGTCCTCCTCTTTTCAGCCTCTGATGAAGAATCCTATTTTAAGAAATTGATCAAGAAAGAAATGAGTTCCACGCTGTTCGACCATTCCTAACTAAGGCTCAAGTCTTGTTCTCCTGTGTAGTAAATATAAGCTAATTTTTCATGTGGGATTCTTCTTGGATGACCAACTCTGGACTACCAGAAAAAAATTTTTTTTTTAAGTTCTGTGACTTTTCTGAGATACTAGAACAAAAGAAGAATTAATCCTCATCTTTCTCAAGAAAATATATAGATGTTGAAAGAGAATCACTTAGCAATTCTGACATAGCAATTCCCCTATCCTGAAATGAGGTCATTGTACATAAAGGTGGAATTATATCACTCCTAATTCAAGTGCAGGTTTTCTAAAAGTAAATATCTATGAATTTGTGTGCTTGATTCTGAATATACACAATTGTTTTCTTTAAAGGTGTTTTGAAATTTTGCCTGTTCTATGTGAAATAAAGTGTCTGAATGTGCATTATAGGTATAATGTAGAGAATCTCCTTTCCACCCCTATTATTAAAGGGGCTGGAGATAAAATTCTTAAAACCAAAATATTGAATCAGTTTGCAAGCATGGTTCATTTTCAGAAAGTATGCTACCAACAAATCAGTTAAAATGATTGAGAAATTCAGTTGTTTCCTTTATACGTAAAGAATATTCTGTAAAGCTGTTGTTCGACAGTGGTATCATCAATATTTTTGCTATCAAAATAGTGCGATACTGGTATTTGTCTTTTGTATAAAAATGTAATCTTCATAAAATGATACCTCTTTGGGCTTTGCAATTGCATAATCATTCAGCGATTAAAAAAGGAATATTAGGATCCCTTCCCTAAACATGTTCCTTGTATTTGCTTTTGTTGAGAATGGTCATCCAGGACCTATGGCAGTTCCACCATCTCATTCATGTTGAAAGAAATACGATTGCTCGTAGACAAATGAGATATTAGCACCTGCATGCAATAATCTCCCACATTCAACTGAAAACTCCCAACACAGATGGAGCTGTTAGACCCCGTAAGATGTGCAAGACAGCTATCTAGACACAGAGGTTGAGAGTGTTGCTGCCCTGGAAATCATTCACTTTGATCAAAACTGATATGGCCTTGCTGTTCTTCCCATTTGTCTTTCCTTGGTGTATGTTGTTATTTATATGTTGATACATTGTAATGATATATGCTGTTGTTAAATAAAATTGATTGAGAAATTCATTTATTCATCCATAAATATTTATTAAGCGTCTGCTGTGTGCTGGGCACCACTGTAAGCCCAGGGATATGCTAGAGAACAAGACCGACAACAATCCTGTGCTCAAGTGAGTTTATATTCCAGTGAAAGAAGCAGACAACAAACAATAGATAATGTAGACTAGATATCATTCTTAAAGAAAAAGTGGCTCCAGCTCTCTGTCCTGTTGAAATTTATTTTTTCTTATAACAGTATTGTCTACCTGTGACGTGATCCTCGTTTTAATGGCTCATTTATTCCACCTGAATACCGTCGTGCTGCATAACTTGGCTGAATCTCAATAAAAAGTAAAATTGGCAGCATCATCCCATGAGGATCATGACTACAAGGTTGAAAGGTCTCAAGTTTTGAGTTCAGACGCTATTTTCTGTCTTTAAGGCGTAGTGATTAGAAATTTGATAAAGCCTGTAATGGTATATGAGACTGTGAGTCATGCTAACGTTCTGCGTTCTCAGGAATAATTTCTGTCAGCATCGGAAGGCAGCCAGATCTGTGCGTGCGGTTTGCATTCCCGCAGCAGTTGAGGAGAAGGCAGCCTGCAGTGGGGAGACGTGTAATCTCACTCTGGCTGCCGAACTCTCTGGAAAAGCAGAGATAAAGCAGTATTTCATCCAAGCCCGTTTTCCCCCAAATGTTCAGGACTGAAGCTAAACGGTGCTTATGATGCATTCCTCAGCTAAGAAGCTATTTCTTACCATCTTGTGAACGTAACAATCCTTTAGGAAGATTTTCCATAAATCCCCGTTTATTCACTGCATAATTATGTTACAAACCTGAGAGCAGTTTTACTTACCACACTCGATCTTTCCAGAGGTTACTTTTTTTATACCTTTTCATTAGATGTTTGATATTTTATCTTCTCTATGTAGAATTTTATAGCTGCACTCCACATATATACATGTGCATATACAATACACACGTATATTTTTATATCATATATACATATGTACATATATATACATAAATATACTTATTTTCTTCCTTGCACTGAGTATTTCCCCCATACATACACCTGCCTCCAAAGGGCTTAGCACTCAACTAGTTTTGAAATACCTTATTTTGAATAAATTTAAAACTGCGCAGCCATCCAATTTGCTCATTTTTTCTCTGAATTGAATAATATGTCAGTTTCTCCTTTTAAGAATTTTACCCATGGGATAAATTGTCTACCTCCAGTAAGATTCTTTGGAGAAAAGCAAATATCCACACAGCAAATAACTTCGGTTGATACTACTGATTTTATTATTTTAACTCTTTGTGATAGTAATTTTAATGAATTATATTTTTATGTTTAGAAAACCTTAAAGCCCTTCTAATAAGTATCTGTTTCAACAGCTTTGCTAAATATAAATAATCCAAAAAATTTTTTTCTCAGTAGGAAAATACTTTATTGATTGGAAATCATCTTAATTCATTTACACAAATGTTTCCTTAAGCAAGCCGTAATGTAGCAGGTTTAGACAGAGATTGATTTCTTTCCTGAAATAGCAGAGCAGATGTAGAACACTACCCATTATGGAAATTTTAGTAATAAACTCATAATCACTAAGAAGTAATGCATTTAAAATAACTTCTGAGGACTTATGTTCCGCAGAGCACGGTAGTTGATGATAAAGATGGTAGGTTAGACTCTTAAGGCAGAAGTAAGAGGTTATATTCCACTTCTCTGATCATTCCATTTTTATTCACAGTTGAACACCTAAACTCCATAAGGACTCCTTATGAAAGATGCCCCACAAATCCTCCTTAACGATTGGCTAGGACTCATTTTCTATTATATTGAAAAGATTTGGTATTTTCTTCACCCACAGTAGCCCCAAACACTTGTATTAAATCCTCCCCAGATATGCAGGTCAGAAAGGCTACTTGGGGGCACAATTGTCAGGTTGGGTTGGTGCAAAGGAGAAGTTGGGAGAGCATTGAGGATCTGCTACTCATGTAGGTTTAATATGAAAGAAAAGCAAAGACACACTTGAAGAAAGTGAGGGGCGCTGAGCAACCAGGAGAGCTTTTGTTCAAGAAAAGCCTGGTTTTCTCTTGGCCTGTCCTCCCACCTCCCTGAGTGTGACCATCTTATTTCTCTTATGCTGCATGCCCCACTCATCTGAATCTCGGTAATTGTACATGCCCCTGGTTGTGCAAACAGTCTAGCTCAATTTCTAATCAACATCTTCAGTAAGCTGTAAGTTTTCTAGTCTTTGTTGGTCTCTTTGGCAGGAAAGCCAAGATCCTGATGGGCCCGTGCTGTCCAAAAAAGGAATTAAAAAAAGGGAAAGAAAACACTAGATACATTTTTTATTTAGATTTACATATGTCTGTTTCAGAAGAGATGGCCTAGCACTTAATAGTTACTTCCTTTTTGAAGACCTGAATCAGAAGTTGTAATTACTTTGCCATGATATTCCTATTTAGGGAGCACTGGTGCACCAGGAAATCTTTATATTCATTGAGTGTCTTATAGGTACCAGACAATATGAGGAGATATGGAAAGGTTTTATCTACACTGTGTACCCACAATGTCATAGAAAGTATTTCATTTACTCATAATACAGAAATTCATGTCCTTAAACTTGTCCCCTCTCTAGTTAAATCATACAAAATCTCGAAGTGTTGCATGCCATTTTGACAAATGCCATGAGAGCTTCAACAATTTCCAGATATTTCAAAATACAGATTCGTTTCCCACACCTGCTACTTCTGTGAGATTGAACAATTCGCTTGCCCTCTCTGAGACTTAGATTTTCCCCCTGCAAGATGGGAAGTGCCTACCTCAAAATATCAGTGTGAAAAGTAAATGAAAGGCACAGTTAAAGAACTTAGCATTATTTCTGATCCAGAGCATGCACTCAGTAGAGCTATTCTTATTTTTCACTACTGTATTTTATGATTGTCCCCCCCATTCTTACTCCTTTATCCTTATAATTAAGAATTATAATCTTAATCACAAGAGGACAGGAGGCATATTTTATTTATTTTTGTAGCCCCTGGCTCCCAGTAAACTGCCTGTCACACAGTGGGTGCTTAATAAATGTTTGAGTACACACTGTAAGTGCAGCTTTTAATAAAGCAAATTGTTCACTATATAATGTAGAGGGAATTTAGCAGATTATATGGGATTTCTCGCTAGAGAAATGTGCACACGAGCTCAGACTGTCACATATGTATTTGAGGACTGAAATTCTTACATGTTCAAGTATTCCGGACCCTTTAGAATTGCATGGGAGCCATAGATGTACAACTTTTGAAAACTCTTAAGTTTGTAATACTGAAAGTTGTAAGCGGTAACTCTACAGCCATTTCAATTGCAATTTTAAGCATTTTACAAATGTGTGAATCTTGCTTTTCTCTACATGTACTTCCACATTTTAATTAGCTGTCACAAGAAAGAATGAAAGGGTTAGCTCATTTTGACTACTACTATTTTATATCTTAGAAATTAACACTGCTTTGCAACAACTCACCACATTTATAATTTTCAAAACCCTTTATATTTGGAGAATGTTTTCTGTAAGCTACTAAATAATTGTCATCTATCTAAAGAAGAGATAGTTAGTTGCCTTAACTTTATAGGTGGAGAAGCTTTCTTTATCCAAGTCCGGTGTTAAAATATGCATCAGTTTCAAATACATGAGAGAGTTCTGGGTCCCTTAACTATGTCAGCCTAAGGCAGGATTATTCAAGGACCAACCCTAGACAGTTGCCCACAGTAGAGTTATTTAGGACATTTCGATGAGAAAGTTATATATCATGTAATTTACATTTTTATTAAGTTTTTTAAAGTAGTTTCTACATTTACAAAGTACTTAAAATCAGAAGTACTGTACAGTGCTTCGTTATGCAAAGTAGAATACTGTCTAATCCAGATTTTCAAGAGCAAGTTCAACTTCCCCAGGTACACATGTGCTGGGGGAGAGGAAGAATTTCGTGTGAAAATGACTCAGTGGATGTTACGTTACAATGTTATAAAATATAAACCCATGATCTCAGTGACATTGTGGCCAAAGATGACCACTCCTTGTCTGCAAATCTGAGGTGTGACCAGCAGGTCTCTCTTGCATGTTTACCAGACCTATCTTTTGGTGGCTTTAAGCTCCATTTATAAAATCAGGTGCTTGTTTGCTAATGTGTCTCTTTAGTTCACGGCCTTTAAATGGTATGGTTTGGGGTGTGTGTGTGTGTGTGTGTGTGTTTAACTGGAAACTGTCTAGTTATTATTAGCCACCAGTAAGTCTTTTCATTTTATAAGGATTTTCACAATAATTCTTCATCCTATTTTCTGTCTTACTTGCTTCAAAAACTAAATGGGAATATCACTTGAAGTGTGTGATTGTCACAATTGGGGGGGATTATTAGCTTTCATTGGAGACATATTTTATAATAGAATAAAACTTCATGGACCACAACCCTCATTAAAGCCAAAAATATTGGATAGTTTAGGAAAGCCAATTTAACGCAAATAAATATATAAGATGTTTTTAATTATTAATTCATTTCTTCACTGAACTTGCTAGCGTCTGCTCTGAGAAGGGCATCCAGCGAAACGCTAGAGAGCAGAGGAAAATCATCTAGCTCCTTTCCTAAAGGAGATTGCAGTTGAACATGGCTAAACAAGATGCAGAATATGGAGACCTGTGACCTTGAATAAGTACTATGTGGTCTTTAACTTCATGAGCTATTTTAGAAATACTAATTTCATTGCCAAAGATGATAGGTTTATACTTCCCTAGATAGTTACTAATGTATACTCTTCATGCCACAGTCACGGGGCTAGGTATGTAACCGTCACTGGGTAGAAAACCGTTTTAAAGGTTTCACTTTTCGTACCCAATATAAAGCAACTGAATATACTCCTTAGCATATTTCTATATTCATCTGTTTTATTATTGATTTCTAGCCACAAAAAATCAGTGTGTATACTAATATTAAATATAAAATTCTTGTCACATTCTGCAGCTGAAAAGTTACATAAAGACTTTTGAATGTTTTATAATTTCTCCTTTACAGTTCTACTTCTCTCATTATAGGAATCCCCATATGTTATGTACAAGAAAAATCACGAAATGTTTGAAGGAAATGACAAATATGAAGGATACTGTGTAGATTTGGCATCTGAAATTGCAAAACATATTGGTATCAAGTATAAAATTGCCATTGTCCCTGATGGAAAGTACGGAGCAAGGGATGCAGACACAAAAATCTGGAATGGGATGGTAGGCGAACTTGTTTATGGGGTAAGCAAATCAATTTATTGAAGAATTTACTTACATAAACCTGAAACTTTCTATCGCCTGGGCACGTATCAATTTCTCAAGACCTGTTACTGTTTATAAATTTGCAGTTACATTGAAAGAGGCATGTACGATGTTCAGATGTTTCTCTAGTTCATTATGGTGTACTTCCCAAATAATGAGAGAAGCTAATACCCCAGAACTTTCAAAATCAGGAAAGATAAAAATTTGGACTATGATGTCCTATTTAAAAAAAAGGTGACTTCCGTTTCTGTGATGATGATTCTCTTAAGCCTGATGCTGCTATACCATAGTCATGTTGTTTTTAAGAACTGCAAAACAAATCTGTTATGAATGTCACTTGATAATTGAAGGAGCAGATTTCCTCCAACAGCATAAAGTTGGACCTTATTTTAACTAGTTATTTATGTCCCTGTTGCTTATACTTACTGATAAATATCTTTTACGTAATTGGTAAAGCAATCACTAAACTACTTTAGCATCTATAAAATATTCAGCAATAATATGAGACTCCTACAATTCTGCTGAACACAGTAAATTTAAACTTTATGCAATGCCATCATTTTTTGAGACGTAGCCAAACACAAAAGCTAGAATGTATTCCATAGCAGGCCTCATGTGAATGCACATCAAGCCCTTCCCTTTACCAGATATTGAGTATACATGTTTATAGCTAAGGGTAGCTTCAATGTAGACATTCCTGCCTGAATGAGAACAAGATCAGTTTCATCAGCTGTCACTGCAAAGGATCAAAATGAAACCAGCAGTTAGCAAATGCTGGTGATGCCTGATATTTCCAGAGTCCAGAAACCAGACCTAGAGCTCACAGTGAGCTGTATTCGTCAAGTAACCAATGAAAGTCACACACACTTGAAATGTGTTCTGAAATTTCCTGTAAGCCAATTCATATTTCACAGATTTCACCTTCAAAGCACACTCTGATTCATCCTCACAAGACCCCTTTGAAATAATTACATGAGAGTCCTCCTTCCCTAGAAGAGAATAAAGATGGAACGATCGAGAGCATAATTGAAGTCTGGAGAGGGTCTCCCTTTCCAAGCCTGAACTACAATTCGATAGTTTCCTGGTTCTGTATCCTGCGTTTCAGACCCCAGAGCCACAGACTTTCTCCAACAAGTCTGATACAGTAGCTGTAACCTCAGCTGAAGAGGAAATTGTTTGGCACTAAAGAGCAGTCATTTAGTTTTATATCCATGTAAAAAGAACTGCTGACCAGTCCGTTGCCCTAACTGAAGGAAAAAAAATTGCAGTTTTAAAAAATCAAGAAGTGTTTTATCACAGGGCTCATCAACAGTTTGAAAGTAAGCTTTAAGTTCCAAAGAAAAAGGATTCCTAAACCATGTGTTCCTCGGTAATATTTTAATCTTTGGGTAATACTTTTAATTTTTGAGACAGTAAGTAGATTTTTTTAAAGATTTCATTTATTTATTTGACAGAGAGAGAGAGCAAGCACAAGCAGGGGGAGCGGCAGGCAGAGAGGGAGAAGCAGACTCTCCGCTGAGCAGGGACCCCGATGCGGGACTTGATCCCAGGATCCTGGGATCATGACCTGAGCTGAAGGCAGACGCTTAACCGACTGAGCCACCCAGGCGCCCCAACTATTAGTAGATTTTAAATGTAAACATTATTCAACTTGTTAGAACTACAGTAATTCATTTCCTTCAGAGAACACTATCGGGTATTGCATCTCAAAAAAATCCTACTTGGATTACCAGTTAGTCATGGATGGTGTAACTAACCTGAGTAAATTTCTACGTTTGTTACATATCTCTCCTCCAGAGTCCCTACCCACTGGGCGGCCCAGCCTCGCCCCTTTGCAAGGGCTCCAGCCACATTGTTCAAGTAACAGAAACAAGTGATATTAAGAGAATAGCATCGTCAACCAAGAGCTGCAACCATAATACATGTCACAGTAACAGAGTCCCAAGGTCAGCAGTTCTCAGAGAGAAAGGATAACAAGTGCTTATTAATACTCACCGTATTCAATCCTCAGTTCATCTGCGAGGGGCTAAATTCTCTCATCTCTGTCACTTGACTTTTTCCCGAAAGGAATCTTCTTCAGTGTTTCTTATCCTTTCTGCAGATTTGGTGCTTTTCATCCTGGTGTCTGCAAAGTCTGCACTTCTTAATTTTTTTACTTTCTTACCGCTAATCCATAGAACAAATGCCCAGTGTCCAGGGCCCGAGGGGAAGCTCCATCCATTCTCTCCTGTCCAACAAAGCCCATTAGACAGTAAAATGATTCACTCAGAACCCGTTATTATTACTACTACTACTACTATTACTACTACGTTATTCTTTGCAAACTTTGTTACTGCCATTGTTCGGAGTAAGTGTTCCGGAACACACTCACGCGTGGCCTCAGCATGCCAGCAGCTGGTGGCCCCAGAGCGCAGGGCGACGCCCACCGCTCAGGTCCTTCCCGCCCATGCGTCACACCAAGTCCTCTCTGCTGTGTTCTGTGCGCCTTCTGCTGGGCCCTGCGTACTAGTGTGCGTGGATTTTAATCCAAGGGAGTATTTCTCCACCTTCCGGGGCCTGCCAGCACCAGAATTCCCTGTGGTAGGCGTTACCGTGCGGGTCCAGGAGCCTCGCTGCAGCCCTCAAGAATCCAACTGTTAGGCAGCTCTTGCGGGACACACTTGACACGCTGCATTTTGGGAATCGCTGAGAGGTCGTGGAACGAGGCACAGGATGTAACATCTCTGGTCTTCACAGAGAAAGCCCCGGTTTATCTTTTCTGTTCACTAGCCTCTTTCAAAACACAGCTTCCAGATTTCAAAAGTGTCCTCGTCGACCTTCGTGTCACCCCCCTGACCCAGCGTTTGCCTTCCCTCGTGCCTTGTTTCCTATGTTAGAGGCTCCTTGATTTCTCTCCATGTTGCTTTCATCTCTTAATGGTAGCTCGTGTCCATACAACATTCCCTAAGGACACTACACCGAACAGCTTAGTATGCAGAAGGTGGCATTTCGCATCAGTGACAGGATGCGTTACTCATTTATTCCTGTTGCAACAGCAGAACAACCACTTGGAAAATTAACCACTTTGTAGCACATGATCACGTACGATACCCAGTAAAGCTTAAAGGAATTATAGGTACAAGAATAAAACATGTATGATTGAGCATGAAACCGGAGGCTGAAAACGCCAAAAAGCCATATGGCTACAATAGAACTGAATACATATATATTGCAACAAAGTACCGTGAACTAAATTATGTAAACAAAACCATTACTGAACAGGGAGAAGTTTTGCAACATATACAGAAAATAAAAGTTAATTTTTTGAATATATTTAAAAGCACTTACAAATTAGTAAGTAGAAGGTGAATACACCATATAGGAAATAGGGGCAGAGTATGACAGGTTGTGACACTGAAAAAAAAAAAAAAGGAAAAGTGGCTATTTGTTTTATAAATAAATATTTTATAAAAATAAATTCAACAATACAAAGAGATCGAACTTGCCATGGAGTGGATTGGCAAAGATGAATGAGAATAATGATATGCACGGGCGGGCCAGCATTTCTAGCGGGTTCCTAGCGGGAGGTGCTTTCACATGGTGCTGCTGACGGTGGAAATTTGCATGATCTTCCTGGAGAAAAGTTGCACAAAACGCATCATGGCCGTTACAAGGATTCTTCCCATTTAGACCAGTAATCCCAGTTCTAGAAATTCATCTTAAATAATTAAGGGATGTACCAGGGCATGTCTTCAAAAACATTCAGATCATCAAAGTTTGAAATTGTGTAAACCTGGAAACGGTATAAACATCTCCTAAAATAATAAGTAGATTGAGCAAATTTTTTATATTTTCTCATGATAAAATACTTGCAATCATTAACTAATTTTTAACATATATGATAAAATGAAAAGGAGTTCATCGTATCCTTCATGAGTAGAGGAATTACAAACTGTAGTGTTTCATATTACCCCATTTTAAAATAAGAAAAATTTGATTCCTCAAACCATGTCTAGCAGGGCATATATGAAGAAAGAGCAAGAGTAGGTGAAGGGAGTGGAGGTAACTTTCCTTAATTTTTTTTTTTAATTTTTTTTTTTTAAGATTTTATTTATT